GTATTTTTCCTTATCAGATCATTATTCTTTTTGAAAACATGATTTTCCCATATTTATTAATATTTCTTGAAAATATTACTTTTAATGCCTGAAAATATTACTTTTAATTTCATATTGTAAATGAACCATAATTTATTTATTTAATAACTTGCAAATTTGCAGACACTGGATTTTCCCTTTTTCCCCCTCTCGTTATAAACAACAGTTATTGAATGTATTTTTACATGAATCTATTTTCTCATCTCTTCTATCTCGTCCCAAAGGAAACCTGCCTCCCCTCGTTTTCCTGTAATTGAAGCTGCTGCTTTTAAACAGCGCTTCCTCTTTTCTAGTTTTGCTGATTTCAGTGTTTAATGTTTCTTTATAATGTGTCTTTTCAAATTTGCGAGTTAATTTTATTCTCTCTTTATGAGGTCTCAACACCATTTATACCTTGCTTCAGTCATCAGACCTTTGGTGTTTTAATGAAAGTTTAACCAGTTTAGAAGAGGATAGATAATGATTATGGCTTCTCAGTGCTAAGCTTATATCTAGCTGAAATATTCCACAGACTTCTTTATGGCTAAGAAATCATTTGTTTTTAATAATCCAGAGTGTTCCTGCCTCATATAGTACTTCTGTGTCTTTTTGCTTGATACTTTGATTGCCTTAGAAGTTCAAGAAAATTTGAAACAATTCTTGAGACATTTAAGGAACGATGAAGTATTATATTACCTTGACAATAATAAAGACGTATGCTAGGGGCTTTGCTTTGGAATCACATAGTCATATATCTTTGTGTTTAACCTTTCTTCTCCAATCTGTCACTGCATTTGTTCCACTGTTGTTCTGTTCTTCTGCTTCTCTATCCTCCTTTCCTGTCTTATTTTTTCCTGCATGTGTGAGTGTGTGTGTGTGTGTGTGTGTGTGTGTGTTCATTCAATTCCCTATTTTAGGCTAAATTTGGTGGAAAGCCTTTCTTGCCCAGATTAGAGAAACCAGGTGTGACTGAATGCTGCATTTATTTGGCCGCTCTATGGGGAATGATCTCATTATTGAATTAGTCTCATAATAACACTGACAAGAGGAACATAAGAACGTGGAGGCCTGAGGGAGAGAGAAACGCATTACTAATTCTCAGAGGAATCTATTTTCCTAAATCCAATCATCCTTTTTAAATGATTTTTTTTATTTAGCTAAAATAAGTAAATTAACACAGTTTTTGGCAGACAGTATGGGGCTCAAACACACACTAGAAAAAAACTGGCATTTGAATAATAGAATGCTGACTGGGCAGTATTGGAGTTGGCATTGGTGGACTGAGTGAAATAACTGAATAGCAACCAAGGAATGCCTTTCCCAGTTGGATCTGTGACTGAAGTCCAGGGAAGAGGGTATAAGCTAAAACATGGCCATGTGAAACAGGCACTGCTTGTTGTTACTCTCCACTCTTGGTGGGTTATGAAATAGGCTAGTGTAAATGTATGGCATTGGCTGATTCTGTCCTCCCCATCCTGGGTGGGTCAGAAGACATCTTACCACACTGTCAGCTCAAGGGGCCGGGACTCTTTCTGTCTGTTTCCTTGTTGCTGGTCCAGACTAAGTGCTCATCATGTGTATGGAACTAATGAACAGGTACCAAATCCAGGCTTCTTTCGGTGTTGGTGAAAGGATTGGATAACGCCAAAGTTTAGTTTTATCATTAATGCCCTGAAAGGTTAAATCAGCTGGCATGGGTTAATTTCCTTATAGGCTTTTAAGGATCCAATCATCTCCTTTGCAGTCCTTTCTTTGTAGAGTGGAAAGTGTTACAGAAAGGAGTAATGGATCCCTACTCTTCACGGGCCTTGCCCCTCATTTTCTCTTGCCCTCACACACACACACACACACACACACACACACACACACACACCTACATAGACACACTTTACACCCTTATCTTTTTTCTTTCCCGATTTCGGGAGGGTCGGTTTTGTGAAATGGGCTCCATCAATTCTACTGAACTTGAATCTATGTAAATAAATGTAACAGCAATACCAAAATAGCCAGAAATGATAGGCTGGAGCTGTGTGCCTCAGCATTCCTTGGGCAATGTCTAATCAAGCATGGACAGCAGCTGTATTTCCAGCCAATCTCTATAGGAACGTTATCTTTTAACACAGTAATTAATCACCAGTCACCATGTGTCAGAAAACTTATTTAACAAGAAGTTGCAAGATGCTTGTAGTTTTTCTCTTCCGTAGCTGTTCTGGCCAGTGGGAAAATTAACGCCCTCTCTGTAATAAAGAAATGAGGGCTCTGAGAGAATTCCATTTATGTTCATTCTTCTGCTTGGGGTGGTATGAAGTTGTCTCTTTTTATACACACCTGTGCTCTGTCTAATCTCCAATAGGAGAATAAACTTTGGGTGAGCAAAGGGTCATGTTGGCCTGTGTGATCACCAGAATTGCAGAGACCCTGTGCTCTGTGGTAATGACCTCTGCTGTGGTTCTCACCCTCTGACTCCAAGATTAATTTTCAAACTCAAAAAGAGGCTTTGTCCTAGAAAATTGCTGGGATTAACTGAAAAGTGGAAGGCTTTATCAGCGTGCTTTTTAATTCCTATCATCAGAGATCATCCCACCTCGAGCTGTCACTTCTCCAGATCTGGGTCACTGGGGACAGTCTGGCATATCTCAGGAGTCTGAGTGGGCATTGAAGGTCCCACAGTGGACCTGACAGTGTTTATGGTTTTTGAGGCCATTACTCAGAAAGAATACCCCCGAGTTTCCCTCCTAGTTCTCCTTCCCCCACTCCCATTTCCTCTTTGTGTCTGTCGCTCTTATTACAGTTGCCTCTCTTTTCTCCTTTGTCTCTCCTGTCATTTTTATTTTCTGCTTTCCTCCTTCAAGGTGTCATCTCTCTTGGATTTCTCCTTATTTTTGTTTTCCTGAAAATGGTATCTCTCATTCCTCAATCTGACAAAGGTAAAGAAATGAAAGCTAAGGTTTAGGAGTGATAAAGGGAGTTCTAATACATAGAAACAGGTACTTCCTCAACCTGGTGTTCCTGCCTTTATTCATTCATTCATTCATTCATTCATTCATTCAACAGATATTTATTGAGCATGCATCCTCTGTAAATCCTCCCCTATGGAACTTGCATTATTGTTGGGCAAGACAGACATAAATAAAATACTCTGAGTGGCCAGATTATTATGATCTCTGAATGCATAATAATCTGGCCACTCAGTGTATATCCTATACAATAAAAGGCTAATATGCAAACTGTCCCCTTGATCAGGAGTTCCAACCAAAAGGCCGGCCAGCCAATTGCCCATGTCCCCTTCCCCTGGCCAGATTGGCCAGCCCCCAACCATGCACAAATTCATACCAGTCCTCTAATATATATACCGAGTGGCCAGATTACTATGCATTCAGAAATTACAATCATCTGGCAATTCAATGTATATGTATGTCAGAAAAAGGTATATGCTATGATAAAAAGCTAGGCATGGTAAGGAGAATTGAATGCACCAGGGTATAAGTGAATCTAATCTTCAGTTTTGGAGTTTTTGTGGAATTCCTTAATAAGCTGATAGCATTTAAGAACGGAGCTAAAGGAAAAGGGAGAGTAAATCATGTGGCTCTCTCGGGGAAGAGCATTCCAGGGGCAGGAGTCTAAGAGCAAAGCCCAGAGGGAGGAGTGTGCTTGGTTTTTGAAGAGCAGCAGAAAGGCCAGTGTGGCTGAAGGGAACGAGCAAGGGGAAGAGTAGGAGGTGGGGTCAGAGGTTTAATCTAAGAGGCTGTGATCTTGAAGCCGGCTGTAATGATGTGTTGGCTTTTTACTGTGAGTGAGGCAGGAAGCTGTTAGTATTTGGAACAGAAGCCTACCCTAACCTGACTTACACTGTAAACGAATCACTCGTGCTGCTAGGTTGAAAATAGACAATTGGGAAGAGGAGGTTGCAGGCAAGGGCAGAAGCAGATGGAGCTGTTAGAAAGCGACTGCAGTAATCCAAGTGAAAGATGGTGGCGATTCCCAGCAAGATGGTAGCAGTGGCGAGGATGGCAGGTGCTCAGATGAGGATGTATTTTAAAAATACAGCTGATAGTATTTGTTGAAGGTCGCAAGAGAGCCAATGACTCCAAGGCTCTTTTTCTGAGCAACTCGCAGGATGGAGTTTTCATTTGCTGAAAGGAAAATGAGCCCAACCCTGAGTCAGAATTGGGATGGCAGGGAAGGGGTCAAGGGGCAGTTAGGAAGGGGAGATCAAAAGTTTGGGCTCGGAATGGTAAGTTTAATGTGCCTATTAGAGAACTGAATAGAGATGAAGAAGAGAACTGCATACACGAACCTAGAGCTCAGGAAAGACATCTGGATGGGAAGAGGAGCTTGGCTTATCGGTATGAAGCTGGGATTTAAGGCAATAAGACAGGGAGAGACAAGCACTCAAGAACAACTTAGAGAAGAAAGAGGAGCTGTCCAGGAACTGAGCGGCACTCCACTGTTTGGGTGTTAGGGTGCTGAAGCAGGCCCAGCGGAGAAACCTGAAGAACAGGCAGGGCTAGGAGGACCACCAGGAGAGGCTGTCCGAGAAGTCAGGTGAAGACAGTGTTTTAAGAGGAGGTGTCTTCATCTGTGTCAAATGCTGATGGTAGGTTACATCCGCTCTAGACAGAGAATTGGCCACGGACAGGCCCCACAAGAGGCCTGAAATGTTTGCATTTCCTTATCCTCACTACACAGTTTAGCTAGTGTAGAAGCAAGCTGTCCATGCATTTGGAACAGGCTTCTTCTTCCTCAGTTTCCTGGGAGGGAATGCAATGATTAGAGTGTTTCTGTTGTAAGATGCAACAAATCAGATGGGCAATTTCTCTTTTCTTGGGTGCTTACTGAGCAAGCTCTGCACTTCCCAGGATAGGAACTACCGTGCACTGTGTTTCCCGTCATAAAGCAGAGTTGTGATCCCTGCAGAACAGGGGTGGAGAACCTTTTTTTTTTTGCCAAGGGCCATTTTATTTATTTATAAAATCATTTATGGGCCATACAAAATTATCAGCTCAAAAATTAGCCTGCTATATTTGGCCAAACATTTAAATAACTCACCCCTAATGCCTTGGCAGGGCCAGACCAAATGATTTCTCAGGCCTTAATCAACCTGCGGGCCAGACATTCTCCACCCCTGCTCTAGGAGGATAAATACCTGGGCAATTTCATTTTTAATGAAGGGCAGTCTCTGCTCCCAGGTACCACACACATCCCTTTTTAGCCCCCTCCCAGCAACTCTGAGTTAGCTTTGGAGCTGGTCTATGTCTGTTCACTTAACCAGTGAAGACCTACATTGCCTACGTATAGGGCCCATACATGGGAACATTTACTCCACAGAAGCCAACAGAGACCTCTGATTGGTAGAAAAAGATCCACTTGAGACTTAAGGACCAAAGGATAAAATAAATCCCGCCTGAAATGACTCCTCTGAACACGGGTTTACTAGTATATGGAAAAATGCAATATATCATATTTAACTCAATAAGACATTGAATCAGAAAGTGAAAAGATAACCAATAGATTGGGAGAAAATAATTGCATATAAAACAACTGATGAAGAGCCTTGTATCTAGAACATATAAAAAGCTCTTACAACTCAATAATACAAAGGCGTGGGAGGTCAATTGGGAGAAAAGTAGATATATATAAAACTGTAGACAATAAATAATAATAAAAAAATAGAACAAAGGCAAATACCAAAATTAGAAAATAAGTAAAGACGCCCCAGTAACATTAAGTACAGCTGGTGCCCAGATCTTGGTTGTAATATTATTCTCAAATGAAAGATCCCAGGACTCCTGGGAGAACTAGATAATTCTAGGACTGGGACAGGAAATATACAAGATAAGCCTAGAACATCTTGCAGTAACAAAATAAGGGCATACTAAAAAAGCACACACAACACAGTGATGGGATGTGTCAAGGGCCACAGGAACCAACTGAAAGAGCTTCCAATACTCAAAGTTGGACAATTTGACCAAAAACAAAACAACAACAAAAGTAGTATTGTATTTTAACCAGAAGCATAAAAATAAATATCAATGAGTCTATACTGATATAAATTAGTGATTGAATATATTGGTGAGGAGAAAGAGACCAATCTGTGCTGAAGCATTCCAAATGAATTGTGTGGCTACTCTACCCTAAAGGAGGGGGATTCTAACTTCCCACTTCTTAAGTGGAGGATACAAAGAGTACTTCCAAAGAATACTTGTGGATTGGGGGAAAGTAACTTTATAGTAGAGGAATCTGAAAAATAGTAGTTGAGTCAGGTGGTCAAAGTCAACGTGAACAAGCATAAATCATGCTGACAGATGTACCATTGATACAGGGGGATGAAAATGACACTTTACCTCTATGATCTTGTTCCCCCAAACCCATAACTCTTGTTTAATCATAAGGAAAAACTATCAGGCATATATTCATGGAAGAGGACCCTATTTAATACCTGACCAATACACCTCAAAACTTCAAGGTCATAAAAAACAACAAGGAAATTCTGTCCTGGCTGGTGTGGCTCAGTTGGTTGGAGTGTCATCCTATGCACCAAAGGTCACCAGTTCGATTCCCAGTCAGGGCACATTTGGAGGGCATATGGGAGGGAAGCAACCATTGGATATCTCTGTCTCTCTCTCTGTCTCTCTCTCTCTCTCTCTCTCTCTCTCTCTCTCTCTCTCTGTCCCCTCCCCTGTCTCCCTCCCTTTTTTCTCCTCTACCTTCTTCTTTCTCTAAAGCAATAAAAACATGTTTTTAAAAAACAAGGAAAGTCTGAGAAGCTATCATAGCCAAATAGGGGCCTGAGAAGACAGGGCAACTACATGTAATGTGGTAATTGGATGGGCTCATGGACCTGAGAGAGGACATTAGGTAAAAACTAAGAAAATGTGAATAAACTGTGAACTTTAGTAAATAACAATGTATCAATATTGGTTCATTCATTTCAATAGATTTACCATACTGATATAAGATGTTGATAATAAGAAAATGGAGTGTAAGTTATCTGGGAAATCTCTGCACTGCCTTTTCAATTTTTCTGTAAATGTAAAACTCTTGGATGGGGGAAAAATTTGTTAGTTAAAAAAAATAGGCATAGGATTTGAATAGACATCTCTCCTAAGGAGGTACATAGATGGCCAATATGCACATGAAAAGATGCTCACCATCATTCACTTTTAAGGAAATGCAAATCAGAACCACAGTGAGATACTACATCACACCTACGAGGGTTACTCTAATCAAAATGACAAGTGTTGGAGAGGATGTGGAGAAACTGGAACCCTCGTAAATTGTTGGCAGGAGTATAAATGGTACAGCTGCTTTCAAACACAATTTGTCAGTTCCCCATCTACTGGAAGCACTGGTAGATGTGAGCTTTCTAAGGCAAAGACTACTCATTTATATAGTCCCTGAGCATAGAGCAGTACCTGACATTCAATAAATACCCCTGGGTGATAAAGTTAAGGTGTTTGAACTTCATACTGTCAGTGGCTAAAGGCTTCTAAGTGGAAAGTGAGGTGGTCAAATTTGTATTCCATGTGGGAAATGGATATGAGGCCAATAAACCTGGAGGACTTGCATACCCATTGGAAGGTGACTGTTAAGCCAGAAGTGTGTGGGGTTTGAAGAGGTCCGAGCTAGTGAGGATGGAGGAGAGACTTGAGAAGTATGAAGGAGCTGAAGTTGTCAGGATTTAGAGAGTGATTGAATAGTAAGAGTAATCTACTGGCTGACATGGGTGTCTAGCTGGGTCACCATCAAATCAGATGAGCCTGCAGGAGGAGGGATGGGTAGATTCAATGAAGCAGGATCATCAGTGGACATGAGTCTGAGGTGCCTGTGGGATTTCCAAGTGAGACTTCCCATACGCAAGTGCATGTGTAGGCTGGAAGCTTTGGGGAGAGGCATGCGCTGAGCAAACAGACATGGGGAGTCATCAGCATAGAGTTGTCCCTTATGCCATTAGAGGAAGCAAACACTGTGGGTGCAGAACAACCCCCGGGGAACACCAGCATGTCCAGGGAGGGGCATGTGGAGGAAGAGGAACCCCTAAAGAGGATACGGAAGGAATGTTTTCAAGTGCAAAGCCAGCCTGGAAACACAACATATCACTTGGTACCCTGCTTTGTCCTTAACCTTGATCTCTGGAGGGCTGAGAATGTTTAATCGTGCCCCAGGAACTGTTTGGTAGGTTTCTTCCTGTAAACCTATTGCACCAAGTCATTAGTTTGGTTTTCTGCAGGAAAGGGTTATAGGTTTCCTGCCTGGAGTGACCAGGGTGGTGTGATCAGGGATTAGTAGTGACATGCTGCCATCTGCTGGGCACACCCCAGTCATCCAGACAAATGAGTACCTTGGTCTAAATCTCCAAATGGTGCTGCGTGAGGTAGGCTTCAGAGGTGACTTGGCTGACAACATGAAATGCCTTTACCTGTTCCTAAAATTTTCTCTGTCTACCTTGCTAGGAGAGCAATTTTGTTACAAAAAAAAATTCAAAATATTTTCACATCTTTTTCTCTGTTTGTTCCCCCAACACCCACCCACTAACACACACACACACACACACACACACACACACGCACATGCACGCACACGCACGCACACGCACGCACACGCACACAACTTTATTCTGCCATTAGTGTAGGTGTCTTTTCAGTTCGGGGGTAACTTTTTCCTGTTTTAGACTTTACCTGTAATACTCAAGATTTTTGACCATGTTGATTTGTAATTAATTTTATAAGATATTAATCTTATATCCAAATTCTTTTCATGAAAATGCTCCCCAAAATTCTGTTCTACCTCTTTGAATGTAATGGTAATCCAGAGTTCACCCTGACTTTCCTAGGGGCTGGAGTAAATGGAGAAATGTGATGGGTTAAATAGCTTTTGCTGCCTGTAGGAGGACATGTGCCAGTTAATAAAATGTAATAGTAAACCAAGAATTGATATGGCTTGATCTCTGAGAAAAATATTCAAGATCTTTGTGTAAGTAGATTTAAACATTACATCTCCCTAACTAAACCTTCCTTAGGCTTTGCTGTCCTGTTTCTGACCATTCGACTTTCTTCTGATCTCTTTTTCTGTGTTTATTGCACATAGAGTAGGTTCTATAGATTCCAACAATTGATCTAAATTGGTTGTTTAATTAGGGCTCTTTGAAGTTAGGTGAGTATGCCTGCTGGTCTGCATATCCCCCAGAAAGCACCCCAAAACAATGAGTACTTATAATGCTCTCAAAAGATATCTTCAGTATTGGTGTTTGATTTCTCATAAACATATCTCAGGTGTGAGGCTTTGATTCAGTAAGATTCCTTTTGATTATGCTCAATTAATGTTGCCGTACGTTGTCCATATATACTTTAGGGAATGTTGACAGACAGTGTCTTCTCTTTGGAGCGATATGCTGCAATTGGAATGACTCAGAGATTAGCATAGATGACACATGTTATTATTCCCAATAAGGATCCCCTGGGACGGAAATCAGAAGTGACTTGTCCAAAAGCTCTCATCAAATTGTGCTCTCTGTGTACCCTGCACTGACCCTGTAGTTGTCACCATCAGGAAATTAAATTACCTCACCCAGGGAGGCCATTTTCTGCCAGGAAAGGATTGCATTGTACTGAAAAGATGTTCAACTTGTTCTGCGACTAAAGCCCAAGGATGATCATTTACTGACTCCATTAGAATTCTCACTGCAAAGCTTGATGCTGGAAGCTGACCTTTCCTGAGCTCTAAATAGAGTATAATGTTTAATTTTGATACTTATAAGCAGGAAACAGGCCCAGTTGTTACAGCTGTTAAAGTAGAGCTACAGCCCTTCGCCAACATGTCCAGGCCAGACTTCCTCCCCAGCATCTCTTGTTGCATCTTATACAGGAAGCCCTCCCTCCACGCCACCTTCTGCTTTCTTAACACCTTTGCAGTTTCAAAGAAAACAAACCAGAGTCTGATGGGAGGCCAGAGGACCACCATGAACTCAGTAGTCAGCTCCCAGCCGCAGTCCCAGCTTTCACAAGAAGTCAGGATTCAAAGTCAGCTCACTCCCACCCCAAAGGTTGTGCATGGTCTTCACTGTATAAAATCAGGGCTGTCGTCTTGTAAATACTGGGTCTTTATTTTGCTTTGTTGAATTAAAATATGATTTCATCTTTCAATTAGGCTCTTAGTCTCAAACATTTTTTCCTTGTATTTTTCTGATTATATGTCTTTCCCCCACCTCATCCCCACCCCCAACCCCGATTTCTGTTGCGCTCTGGCCTCTGCAGTTCTGATTAGCTTTCATTAGCAGTTTTACAGTAGAGAGCTCTGTAGACCCCACCCATGGGGGAAAGTGTTCTTGATACTGCTTGTATGTTTTCTGCCCAAACCTCAAAACAACTGTCCTGAAGCAATAACGTGAGGCCCAGCTTCACTCTCTAGGACCCATCCTGCAAATGAGACCCAGCATGTGATCGCATCCTTGGTGAGCTCTGTCCTTAACCCCAAGTGCACACCGTCAACTCTCACAGGACCAAACAGGTTAACCATCGTTCTCAAAGGCTAACAGGCGTCTTCAAACTACGGCCCGCGGGCCACATGCGGCCCGCAGAGAAGTCTGATCCGGCCCGCCAGGTTTTTTGGGCAGTGAGCGCAGCCGAGGTGTTACAGTAGGAATTAGTAGTTCATATAGTCCGGCCCTCCAGCTCTCTGAGGGACCGTGATCTGGCCCCCACTTTAAAAAGTTTGAGGACCCCTGGGCTAGAGGGTCTGAGAATTTCCTAAAGAACTTGTTTTAAGTGGAATTCTTTGACTCCATCCCTAAATTTTGGATTTAGAAGATTGAGGTGGGGCCTGGCACCTGCACTGTATTTAATGTGTGCCCAGGGCTGCAGGGTACCCCAATGCGGTAGTTCTTACACACTCCTGGGGAAATACTGACCTAACCTTGGGTTCTTAAGACATACAACATTTAGGCCATTTTTCTCTCAGCTTCTTCTGGTCCTTTATTCCCCATTTCTCTTTTTTTTCTCCTCTCAAGGACAGTGAAGATAATTATAACATGAAAGGCCTGTCCTGGATTAAGTTGAATCCTCATTAAACTATCCCTCAGGGCAGGCACCTTGAGTCAGGTTGTGTTCTTGGAAATTTAGGGGAGAACTAACTGTTTCATTTATTAATGGTTGGCCAGCAAACAAATTCAACCCATGAATGCACACACATGGACATGTCTCTTCAACTCTCTTGGCTGAAGTTTCCTCGTCAACAAAATAAAGGGTTTGGTCAGACGATTAAGTGCAGGGCCTCAGACAGACATGACTTGCCCCGAGTGCCATGATGTAGGGCCAGAGATGGGGTTCACCTTGGCCTCCCCACCCCCCACTCTCAAAAGAGCCGTCATGGAAGAGGTTTTCACAAAGAAGATTAACTTCAACTCAGTTCCATGAAGAGACTGGAAAGATTTCTGAGAAACAAGGTACATCAGAGGCACTTGAGGATTTGGTGCCTGTGTGTGGATGAGGAGAGAAGTGATAGAGGCCTGTTTCTTTTCAGAGTCACCATCAGGGCTGGAGCTTTTGCTCACCACATGTCCTGGAGGGCCAGGCAGAGCTGGCTACTGCTTCTGCATGACCTAGAAAGGTCTTCTAAGGCTCTGAACAGTAATTCAAAAAATAAACATGTAGGCGCTCAAAAATGTAAATGTCACATCTACAGCAGCTCCGCAGCTCCTTTGTAGTGCTGCAATTTTCCGGCTGATGGAAAGGTTTTATTCAGATCGGCGTTTCCCTCTGTCCTCGAGGCACTCTTAATCTCTGTGCCCTAACCTTTAAGGATATAGGCTGCGGCTGCCGCTGTAATAATTTCCATTGCCTGGCATCTGCATGCTTAAGTTCCTCCGAAGAACTGCACACCTTCCACTTTCTCAGTTGGAGATGCAGTCAAACGAGGAAGAAAACTAGTGGGGGTAGGAGAGACCAGCTCCTGATTGACCCTCACACACACCCCCACCCCCTTACCCAGGACGGAGCAAGGATGGATCAATGGCCTGGACTTTGCTGCATGGCATTCTCCTCCAGGCAAATCTCCCACGAGATGCTGATTAAACATGTTGGGGTGCTGGGGGCAGAGGAGGGAGGGGGGGGATGTTGGGGATTTTTCATTGCCAGAGCATTTTATTGACAACATTAAAGGCTTCGTGATACATTCGACCAGAAATTAATTACAGCCCGGCTCCCCGTTTCTCCCTTAGGTGACAGTCTTCTCTCGGTGTGTGCCGCTGTGAAAATAATAATAGGCTTGAAATGTTTGTGAAAAACATAAAGTAATTACTTGCTGTGATAAATCAGTCATTTGATGTCTCGGCTTCTCCCATTCCATGTACGTGGCAGCTGGTCTGCTTCTTTTGTTAACTTTAATTATATAGCATGGGAGAACGTACATTTTTCCGTTTTCAGAAATTTTGCTTTTTTTATTTTTTTTATTTCTTGGTTTCCTAGTTCTCCAGGGATGAAAGCACTGAAATGATAATGACACATCACTAACGTTTGAACAAGGGAAGCATATGTCTGCCAGGAAGCTGACTGCCTTAGTTACATTTTGCAGCTAGTGGCCACCAGCTATTTGCCCGTGCTTTTAATGAGCCTTAAATATTTACTGTTTGTGGTGCGGAGGGCATTCGGAGGCTCCTTCTCACCTATGGCGCATGTTCAAATGGTGGGCCCTGAAGCCAAAGAGCCTCTAATAGCTCTTTTCCCTTTTTTAACACACACACACACACACACACAGACACACACACACACACACACACTTTTCCTGGAAAACCTACAGCTCCTTTCTTGGTGTCTCTCTCTATCCACAGGGCCTATGCAGATCTACTTGGGTAATACTGACTTCACTCACCTGTAAAATGAGGGAGAAATGTCCTTTTGGAAACTATCTGAAAAGGGGTCCTCACCCAGGCAGACACAATGGCCAGGACTCTGTCCCCACCAGCATGTCATACTGTCCCGCAGGAGCCTATGCTTGGTACTAAGGCTGGCTCACCCCTAAAAATAGGAGCTACATGTTTGCATTTGCTTTTAATGCAGATCACTTATGGGGATATTAAGGTTTTCTGCTCCATCTAATCTGTCCTGTCCATTCCTGATCAGCGAAACATTATTAGTCCTAACTTAAAAGGTTTGCTTAATCTCCTCGATCAGTGGTCGGCAAAATCATTAAGTCAACAGAGCGGCAAACCGAGGCTCGAGAGCTGCAGTTTGCCAACCACTGTCCTAGATCAAGCTCTCTCTCTCTTAGAACAATAAGTTTCTTTTTAACTTTCTGATATTCATCTTTTTTTGAACTATTGGTTATATTTAGAACCCAATGGAAGAAGAGTAAGAATTGGTTATGGATAATTCTTCTGTAGAAAGTCATACTCGTCAGACTCTGCTGTTTCACCACCATGATAATTGGGGTTCCTGGTACTTATCTCTTGAGACTAGAGGATCCAATCCATCATTAAAGATACCACCGCATTCAATATAGTTTAGGCATTACATACATTTCATTATATTCTGTCTTAATAATTGATGACTCAATATGATATCTCAGTATAAGCTAAGTACTTACAATATTTTATTATTTTATTATTGTTGATATCATTACTAATAACTACTGTGTGTTGAGTACCTATTTCGTGTAAGGCACTCTATTTACGTGATTTATACACATCTCATTTAATCCTTATAATGACCTCGCATGTATTAGCATTTTCATTTTACAAATGGGAAAATTGAGACTCTGAAAGATTAAGTAACCCAAGTCCAGCACAACTAGTAAATGACAGCACAGTGATTCAAAGCCAGCTCTATCTGCATTTTCGCTGCTGTGCTACACAGCTCATTTCACTGTAATGTATTAGCATTTCAAGAAGATACACCAGGGCCCAAATGACTTTATAGACTCTATTAAATGGCGATGATTGGGGTGTTCCAAGTTGAAAGGGCTTAAACGAGGGGTGACAATGTTTTATCCTCCCTGGGAGCAATTGAAAGTTGTTGTCTTGTAGGCTTGCAGGGAGAAACAGAGGAGACCAAGGAAGATTAGGAGAAAGGATTTGAGCACAGCACCTAAGGCCTGGCCAGAAATGATCACGGGCATCATTGGGCCCAACAGAGTCAGGAACGGATGAGGATCTCTGAGAAACCTGCCGTGGCAGCAGCATTAGGTGTCCAGGTCAGGGAGGAACATGGGCCAGACAGCACAGGGAGAGTTGGACCACTACTACGTGCAAGCCTCCATTACCAAAGTATCAGTACACACGATATATACAGTGATTGATGAAATTGTCCTCAATGGCTTTTAAGAAGCTACTATGCCTTCCTACATGAATTTAAAGTGTTTCAGAAAGGCTCTAGCTGGTTTGGCTCAGTGGATAGAGCGTTGGCTGGCGGACTGAAGGATCCTGGGTTTGATGCCAGTCAAAGGCACATGCCCAGGTTGTGGGCTCGATCCCCAATAGGGGGCATGCAGGGGGCAACTGATCAATGATTCTCATCATTGATGTTTCTATCTCCCTCTCCCTTCCTCTCTGAAATCAATAAAAATATGTAAAATAAATAAATAAAAAATTAAGAGTTCAGAAAGGAAGGGAAAGCAATAAACCATATATTTTTGTCTTATCAATAAAAAATCTAGCTATTTTATTTTATTATTATTTTTAATTATTATTGATTTTTTACAGAGAGGAAGGGAGAGAGGGATAGAGAGCCAGAAACGTCGATGAGAGAGAAACATCGACCAGCTGCCTCTTGCACACCCCCCACCGGGGATGTGCCCGCAACCAACGCACATGCCCCTGACCAGAATGGAACCTGGGACCCCTCAGTCCGCAGACCGACGCTCTACCACTGAGCCAAACCGGTTTCGGCGAAAACCTAGCTATCTTAAAAGACAAATAAAAGCAGTGATATACAAGTATGATTGACATTTGTCATTTTTTGACCAACTAATTTCTAAATATCTTTGTGTTTAGGGAATTCCTCACAATATGGCCTTAAAGGGAGACACAGTCCACCTTCCATCATAAAAACACCAAGTCCAGGCTGGCTGACTATAGAGACGTAACCTACGTTGGGCCAGTCAAATGTGCCCACGCCAGACTAAGCAGGGAACTAGGGACACTGAGTGCAGGGGAATGGGGAACCTCATGAGGTGGTAATAGCTTCAGTGGCTCAACATCCATGAGGCAGAACAAGACCTGATGGCTGTCCTTAGTAATGGCAGCTGTGGTATTTCCATGAACCTGTCTTTGGAGAGTGATTCTGCAGTAATTTTGGCCGTGATCCCAATTGCTGCCTAGCTTTGCTTACTCCTGCTCACTTTCCCAGTCTGGCTCATCTATGAGTTACCCAGTATCTTATTAATAATTTCTTCTTTGATTTACAACCTTCAATGTTACATACATGTATAGTAAAATCTATTGAAACTTGTGAGTTTTAGCTTTTTAAATTCTGTTTAGATGAACAGAACCAAGAGATAACTATTACACCAATAGCAGTTTGCTGAGTGAATGAAATTTAAGTAATAAGTGAGCAGCACAGACAAAATCATGAGTTTATTATGTGCCAAAGAAAATAGACACTTTAAAATTTTCTTTATTGGAAGGTATTTTTATGGAAAGAGTTAGATGGAGGTGCTGCTGAGACATTATTCAGCGTGCATTGAAATAATTAGAGAAAAGTGTTAGAGAAGAAATGGTTTTTTAGCTATACTTGAAGAGGTGAGATTTAGAAGGGTGGGTATTGTAGACAGAGAAAAGGTTATCTAAAAAAGCTATTAAAAACAGAAAATGTTATAAACTTTAATTTGGGGATGCTATTGCTCTTCTCAAACTGTATCTTTAAGAAAATCAAGTTTTTGTTACTATAGTGCATTGTACTATTTATTTGCACATTTAGTTGCTTCCCAGGACATTTTTTTTTAACCCAGAGTGACAAGTGGTTTAAGTGGTTCAGACAAAAATAAAATTTCCAAGGTGATTGCTATCAAAGGAAAAGAAAAGCCTTTTCACAATATGTTCCCTTGTCCTCTGTCACTCTAATTAACAGTAGTTGCAGAAATTACCCGAAATAATAGTAATCTGCATTTCTGTATTTATAGTCCTTCCGTGAAGCTGAAGGTTTCCATGAATGTGAATTGATTTAGCTCTTCTCATGTGCTAAGGAGGAAAATGAGCCAACTCTCTCTCTCTCTCTCTTTTGCTCTTTTTATACACGCACACACACACACACACACACACACACACACACTGAAAGAGGTCTGAGAGTATGAGGAGAGAAGTAGAAGAAACTGACCTGACTAAGCTGACTACAGTTTCCATGCTTTGGGTGAAAGGAGAAATCAGTAGAAGGCAGAGATTTATTTAGAACTAGAGGCCCAGTGCACAAAATTTGTGTACTCAGGGAGGGGGAGGGGCATCCCTCAGCCTGGACTGCACCCTCTTGCAGTCTGGGAGCACTCAGGGAACCCATAGGGAGCAGGCCTAAACCATCAGTTGGACATCCTTAGCACTGCCATGGAGGCGGGAGAGGCTCCCACCACTGCTACTGTGCTAGCTAGCCATGAGCCCAGCTTCTGGCTGAGCAGTGCTCTCCCTGTAGGAGCACACTGACCATCAGGGGACAGCTCCTGCATTGAGCATATGCCCCCTGGTGGTCAGTGCGTGTTATAACAACCGGTCGTTCTGCTGTTCAGTTGATTTGCATATTAGCCTTTTATTATATAGGACTTATTTCTCAGATTCCTTAGATTCGTGGTCAGCAAACTGCAGCTCACAAGCCACATTGCGGCTCTTTGGCCCCTTGAGTGTGGCTCTTCCACAAAATAACATAGCCTGGGCGAGTCTATTCTGAAGAAGTGGAGTTAGAAGAAGTTTAAGTTTAAAAAAATTTGGCTCTCAAAAGAAATTTCAATCGTTGTACCATTGATATTTGGCTCTGTTGCTTAATAAGTTTGCCGACCACTGCCTTAGATCATATTGTCTTCCCCAACCATAAAAAGTCTTTATTAGAATGGACTTTGATAAATTTTGGATATTAATCCCTTAGCAGAAATATCAGTGAATATGTTCTCCTATTCTGTGAGTTATCTCTTCATTTTGGTGAAGGTCTCCTTATCTGGTCCCTTCTTTAACAGGCAGGAAACTGGCTTAGAGAGACTAAGTAACTGGCCAGGAAGGAACCTGCTAGGGCAGAACCCAGACTTCCTAACTCCTGGGGCAGGACTCCCTTGAGTGCCTCCATGCCTCCTACAGGCTGATACCAGCAGCTCCCACAGGTTTGCATTCATCAGAAACAGTGCCACCCTGGGCAGTGACAGGCGGCCTGGAGAAAGGGGACATCATTGACCCTTTTCCCTGCCCAGCGTCTGACACAACCCTCGGGGGGCAAGTTATCTCACTCTTCTTGATGTTTGTCTTCTCTAAAACTAAAACAATATAGCTGTGGGACACTTTCTCATGAACAGAAATTGCTGTGTGATAATGACTATGACTTCTGTTCTCTATCCACACATAGTTATGTCCTCGTTACTTACTGAATACAGAAAGATTATTAGTTTTATTAGCTTTTGGTATCAATACTGCCATGTTCTCTCTTAGCTATAAATACCTGCTTTGCCCACATCAATCTGAATCTTTATTCTTAAGTAATTTAGAGTAGACACGATAAAATAATTAATTGCTGTCTAAATTCTACTAAACTCTCTATGGATGATGTATTATAGAACTATACACCTGAAACCTATATAATTTTATTAACCAATGTCACCCAAATAAATTCAATAAAAACAACATCATGTGAGAGGGAGGGAAGGCTGTGCCTACCACTAAGGAGCAGAAGGTCAAGGGCCTAGAGTCCCCAGGTCAGCCCCAGTGTAGAAGGGACCAACGCCTGTGCAGGAGGCACAGTGCAGCAAGCCAGGCTCAGAAGTTGTGTCATCGCTACCCAGTTAAGTGCCAACCCTGATACCATTCTTCTGCCTCCAATGAAGACTTCTCCATGGGGTTCTTTTCTTGAGCCTCAGAGTTCATGGTAATAATGTAGAGAGATGCTAGGTAGGCAGGGAGAATCTATCTCCTACACCCATTTGGGGGAGCGCTGAGGGTTCATGTTGGGGTCACCTATTAGTACACAAAACCTTCAAATTCTTACTTTCTCCGAGAGGTATCCAGTGTCATTTATTGTAGATACCTGCTGTCTCCCTTGAAAGGACATTCTCAGATGCATAGCCGTATCTAGCCAATAGATATGAGAGGACCTCAAGATCTCCGAGTGGTCCTTCTAAGAGGTAGGAGGGAGCAGGGGAAGCAGACCTCTTGTGCACAGCATGCCTCCCTAGGTTTCTCTTAGTGTGATAAAGGAAACAGATCTTAACCAGACCAAGAAATGCCCATCAAACGGGTTATCTGCCTAATGACAGTCTTATCACCCAAAATACATGGTTTAATGACCCACTTATATCGTACATTAGGCCTCTGAGTCACTTCAGCACCTTGGTGGTCCTTTCAAAGCGGCCTATTCTCTGGCTCTTACGCGTCTGTAGAACCACCTACCATTGGGAGCTTCTGGCCACTAATTTTCTTAATGAATAAAGCCACGTACAAGCCCCAGAGCATGTAATTTATACTGCTTCCGTGTCCGAAGCATTTCCTAAAGAAGTCAGTTGCTCAAGGTTATGACAATTTAGGAAAGGATCATTCATTCATATAATTCATACATCAATAGTTACTGGACATATATATAAGAGCTACTCATTCCTGGAGCTTCAAAAACAAAGATGCCATTTCTGCTTATTCACTGA